TTCCGGGCCGGTTCGGGCCGGTTCCGACCGATTCGGTCCTTTTGCTCATCCCTACTTTAAATACCTAATCATATTAACCAAAATCACTCACAAACACTTTATTCTTTTACAATCTTCTTTATTTTAAAACCTACAAAAATGTCATCATCAAAAAATCCCACCTACAAAAGAACACCCAGTAGAAAAACCACAATTCCAAGACCTTCACTCGATCAACCGGTTTATTCGCCTCCTTTTTACACTACCGGGATATGCTTCCCTATTTTCCCTAGGATTTTTTTTTAATGACATGTTTTTTTTTAAATAATGTAATGGTTTTATTTTTAATTAATGAAATCTTTTGTTTTTAATTAAAACTAAAAATTTTATTTATTTAAAAAAGATGTGTGGCACCACTCCTAGGGTGTGACATGAAATCATATTTTTGTGGTAGTCGCTGAGGTGTCGCCTGCACGACAATAAAGGGAGTGTAACTTTTGTGGTACCACTGCATCCAACCTAATTCGGGGCTGACAAGGACGAAACATAATCCATAGAGAAGTAAAGAAGCTCGCATCTCCCCATACACTACTAGAAAAAAAGGTGTTTTCCTACGGATAATAGCTACGGAAAATTTCCGTAGCTAATTAGCTACGGAATGGCTACGGATTAGCTACAGAATTGGACGCCCTAATTTAGTAACAGAATAGCTACGGAATAGCTACGGCATAACTACGGATTCAATTCCGTAGGTATTCCGTAGCTAATTAGCTACGAGATAGCTACGACATCACTACGGATTCCACTCCGTAGCCATTCTGTAGCTAATTAGCTTCGGAATAGCTACGGAATAGTTACGGATGTTAACCTGTAGCTATTCCGTAGCTACTTAGCTACAAAATGGCTATGGAATAGCTACGCATATAATATTAAACCATTAAATGAATAAAGGATCTCGAAGGTGCAAACGACTGTATCAACACTATTAATGACTATAAGTTGTTGAAAATAAAGATAATCGTGTATAATAGAGGTGGGAAAAAGACGAAGAGAAAAAAACGATGTTTAATGCCCGGAAAATCAAAAATAATAAAATCCGTAGCAACTCCGTAGCTAATTAGCTACGGATTAGCTACGGATTTTTTTTATTTTCTATTTTTCGGGCACCAAACGTCGTTTTTTTCGCTTCGTTTTTTTTACACTTCTACTATACATCATTATCTATACTTTCACCAACTTATAGATATTAATAGCATTCATAAAGTCGTGTGGACCTTCGTGATCAAGTATTCGTTTCATAGTTTTAACAATGTAATTACTATACTTTTCACCAAATTGTGATGAATTTATTTTTGTATATGTATATTTACATACATGAAAGAGTTGTGGTATATGTGTACGTGTATGTGTGTGTATACGTGTTTGTGCGTATTTATATGTGAACGTAGATCATAAGCGTGTTAAACCATTAAACGAGTAATGGATCTCATATGTGCACACAACTTTATGAATGATATTAATAGCTATAAATTGGTGAAAATAGAGATAATCATGTATAATAGAGGTGTGAAAAAAACGAAGCGGAAAAAACGACGTTTGGTGCCCGAAAAACTGAAAATAAGAATTATCCGTAGCTAATCCGTAGCGAATTAGCTACGGACTAGCTACGGAATTCTAACGGAAAGCACATTCCGTAGCTAATCCGTAGGTAATTACCTACGGATTAGCTACGGAATGTGCTTTCTGTTAGAACTCCGTAGCTAGTCCGTAGCTAATTCGCTACGGATTAGCTACGGATAATTCTTATTTTCAGTTTTTCGGGCACCAAACGTCGTTTTTTCCGCTTCGTTTTTTTCACACCTCTATTATACATGATTATATCTAGTTTCACCAACTTTTAGCTATTAATATCATTCATAAAGTCTTGCGCACCTTCGGGATCAAGTACTCGTTTAATAAGTACTCGTTTAATTGTTTAACAATATAATGACTATATTTTTCACCAACTTGTGATGGATTTATGTTTGTAGACATGAATGAGTTGTGGTATATATGTATGTGTATATGTGTATGTATACGTTTTTGTGAGTATTTATATGTGAACGTAGATGATAAGCATTAGAGTTTAAAACCATTAAACGTGTAATGGATCCCGTATGGGCACACGACTTTATGAATGACATTAATAGCTAAAGGTTTTAGAAAATATAGATAATCATGTATAATAGAGGTGTGAAAAAAACGAAGCGGAAAAAACGACTTTTGGTGCCCGAAATGTCGAAAATAAGAATTATCCGTAGCTAATCCGTAGCTAATTAGCTACTACGGACTAGCTACGGAATTCTAACGGAAATAATAATAATAATAATAATAATAATAATAGAAATAATAATAATAATAATAATAAGATGTTTAAATAGAATAGTCAAGCATATTAGTATGGATGTGGCATGCCCGGCCGGTTGGTAAGTTTGTGATATTGTACGTAGGTAACCCAAGTTTGAATCCCTCCCACGTTTTTTTTTTTTTTTTTGCAGGCCGTAGTTTTTTTTTGCTTTTTTTTTTTTTTTTTTTTTTTTAAATTTAAAATGCCCATCTTTTGCTGGGATTAGTATGTTGGACGAACAAAACCCCCCTTCTCCTTCGACGTTGCTGAACCGCGAACAGAAAACAAAAAAAAAATCGCTGAAGGCCTGAAGCTTCCCGTCATCCGAGCCGTCGCTACCCCTAGCTGCCCGTCGCCGCTGTCGACCCTCATTTTCTTCCCCGGCGCATTGCTCTCCTCTCTCTTGGCCTCTTTGCTCGATTCATTCTTCCCCACAGGTAAAACCCTAGTTTATTTTTATTTTTTTGAAATTACTTCATGCAGGAAACATACACTGCCCACTGTTTCTTTTTTTCTTCATCTTCTATTCTGAAATTGGTGCTTTACAAGGATAACCACATCATTTATTGCTAATTTGATTTGGGTGTGAAGAATCAACTAGAGACTATGAGCTGGACTTTTTTGTTGAATATTTGGGCTTAAGGTATTCAAAATCGGATGGATTTTTTGTTGAATTTATAGACTTAAGGTGTTCAAAATCATACAGTATGCTTTATTAAATGTTACAAAGTTTGCCCACCAGGTGTTTGTTAAAATTCCTTATTTAACTATTTAAAGTTTATGTGTGCTTTCATCTATTTGTTTCTGACTGAAACTGGGATGGAACTTGGTTTCTCTTATAGATGATGGTAGAGAGGATGATAAAAGCTTTCAAGAATGCATTTGATGAAAACATGGTTGTATAAAGCTTGCATTAGCCCGTTAACCTGAGACGGAAGATAAAAACGAGTATTAATCGGATTTTTCCCCTTCCTGATACATAATTTCGTTGTATTTTCCTTTTATTTTTGATGAATCTTTTTTCGTATCTTTGTGTTTTGATGCGTTTTATGTTGCAATAAATCTTATAATGGAATATCTATATATGATTTCTAAATTTTTAGGGCATCGCAGGAAACCTCAGGGCTTATGGAAATCCATCTGAGGAATGTAAATATGATTTGGAAACTTTATAAGTGATGAAGAAAAACCAAGTGTGCATGCCTCTAGTTTGGACTTTGAGGAAGAAATAACATAAATCCAAGATTTTTGCCATTGAAATCCATGATGGAGGAGACAACCTATGATTTCAAGTCCTAAATTTTGACAGTAAGCTTTTATTTCAATTTAAAATTATGTGTGATTGGTGGTTTTATTAGATAATATGCAAACATTTGTTAAAGTTCTTTATTATTTTCCAGGTTGAATATAATACCAAGAAGAAAGGATTGAATTCCAAACTGCCCCATCTTTGTAAGCATGTGAGTACTGTTGTGTACCTTTTGTAAGCCAAAATCTTTACTACAATTTTAATCTTCAATCAGCGTAATGTATTTTGCTTACATTACAAATAGGCCCAGTCAAATTTAATGTTTGTTAAATAAATATTCCCACTCTCATGTCTTTTTTTATTTATTTATTTGTTTTTTATTATATGAACCTACTATCCTTTCCTTATTTAGTTTTTTGTTAAAGCAACAAATTTCCAAAAATTATAAAATCATTATAATTGTTTAAAAAAACTAATCGTCTCAAAAAACTAATTTGTAAAAGAAATTACTTGCACCTGTCGCTTAGCGCGGATAAACGGCTAGTAATAAACTAAAGTACATTGCTAATATTGTTTAACTATTGAATTGTATTGCCATTTTTTTAGGTTGATAGGTTGCGCGCACAAGTTTCTACAATGGAACAATAGCAACAACAAATGCAAGAACAAATGGAAATGGTTATGTGGATGATAAATATGTCTGGAAAACAATCTCGTGCTCCCCCCAATAATCTGAGGACAATTGAATTTGTAAACATCTGGTAGTGTTTGTTTTGTTAATTAGTGCTTACTTTTGTCAAACTTAGTATTAGTCAATAAGACAATGAAATGGAATGTGTCAAACTTAGTATTAGGGACGAACGTGGTATTTGACAAAAAATTGAATGAATTATTACTTATTTTTGTATATGGTATTTGAGACAAATGTGAATTGAATGTGGTATTTGACAATAAATTGGAAATTTTTAAATTTTTATTTTTTTATATATAAAACAAAGTTAGCTACGGAATATCCGTAGCTATTTAGGTCCGTAGCTATTTGGATCCGTAGCTATTTTGGTTCGTAGCTATTCCGTAGCTATTTAGCTCCGTAGCAATTCTGTAAGAATTTCGTAGCTATTTTTTTCTGTAGCTATTCCGTAGCTATGGTAGCTACGGAATTTTCCGTAGCTATTCTGTAGCGGTTCCGTAGCTAATCCGTAGCTATAATTTAGCCACGGGTCATTATGCTACAGCTATTTTTCCGTAACAATTCCGTAGCTATCCGCTTATAGCTACGGAATAGCTACGGATTGTGCTGTAGCTATTGATTCAGTTTTCTAGTAGTGATATTCAACAAAACTTATGGATGTTGAAATAATTTAACGTCAATGAAATACTTTAATTTCGTCACATAGTATTTTATGACTTCGAAATACTTTTAACTTCCTCATATATTTTTTGAGTGTGGAACTATAATGTGAGGAATTTAATTTGAATACTTTAATCTCTATGAAATACTGTAATGTCCTGATATTGTTTTTTATGTCTTTGAAAAAACTTTAACTTCCTCAAATATTTTGTCAAGGTGGAACTATGATGTCTATGAAATGAGGGATCTAATTTTTCAAACTAAATTTGTAGAAAATGAAGCGTTTAATTTAATGTCATGGAAATAATACAACAAAACTTATTAGGTGAAAATCCTAAAATCGAGAAGAAAACATAACCCATTTATATTTTTTTAAACGGTAAATCTACTTTATGCTTTAATTGCTCCTGAATCAATTTATGTCCGAGTAAGGACTTGAATCCTCGACTTCAAGAAGAAAGACACTATCTGATAACAAGTGTGAATCTACATTGATTGAAATGTTAATCTACACATGGAAAAAAACTCATCTAACTAAACACGTAGAATTGACACCTGTTACCACTTATTAATTTCTTTAGAGTGTTGGATATGGACAACACACAAACACCGCACCCTTCATCCGTTTTTGGGCGTTATACAACTGCCGTTGCTTCCGGTTGCCTTCTCCACCTTCGTCTATCATTGTTTCTTTGTTTTTATCTGTGACCGACTAGCCTTATGAATAAATTCTCCACCATTTTAATTAATGATGAGTTTGATTTCCCAAAGTAAATTCATCCTGATTTTCCATAAAACAATTTAATATATCTAATTCCAATCATCTTAAATAAGTAATTCATATATGGATACCAGAATTTGAGTCACGGCTAATGGAAAAAATATTAAAAAAAATAGTGATAGGCAAATTGCCAAATTATATGGACCATCACTTTTAAATTATATTTATTTTAATTGATATATATTTTTTTTTAAATTATGTTTTATTTTTGCTATTAAAATTTTATTTGTCTTAGATTGTATTTTTTAACTTATGTTTGATAGTTGGTATTAAAAGTTAAAATTATAATTATTTTATATGATATTATTGATAACCATACGTGATATATAATCAAATTTTTTCAACTATTTATTTATCATTCCAACAAATTGGACTAATTGGATCCCAGTAAGTTTGAATCCTAGATTTGCGCTTCTTTTGATAAATAACACATTCATATATTTGACATAATCAACTATTAAAAACAAAACTAGACATTTATTAAACACAACTAATACTAACATATAGAAATCTCACTATATTTTCCTAAACATCCGTCAACACTCAACACATACAAAAAGAACCTAATCTACTAAGAAGGAAAAAAAATATATAAAAAGAAACAAGAAAGTTATTTCATCTGCTTTTTACTCTCATAGGACCAAGTTATATCCAACTTATATAGAGTATATACTTATTTCACCAATCTTATTAAGTACATAGGACCAACTTTTATAGATAATACTTATTTCACCAATTCTATGAAGTACCCTATGCGGGACTCAACGACACAAACTAATATCTACAACACACTAGGTATAAGATCCACATATTACATTAGTTTATTTAAAAGAAAAAACTAATATAAAATTCTAAACATTTAAGAAGTTTGAATTTATAAGAAAAATAAGAAAAATATTGAATTATAAAAAATAAAGTGTTTTTTTTTTTTTCTAAATTTAAACAAATAATTTAGATAAATAAATAAAAAAAATTAATGAAACTGTAATATAGTAATTTTGAAATTAAAAAGAAAGTTCATTAAAAAAATTAATATACATTTATTATCGCATTTAAATACTATGTGAAATCAATAAAATAGAAAAACCATTCACCCTATTCATTTGTGCCCTTGAATTTTATTTAATCTTCACCGCTATCCTTCAACTTTACTTGATATGACTCCAACATCAACATTTTTTTGATTACTTCAACCTACAACCAAACATACCAAATTAGGTAGTCTACTTTATATAATTCCAAGTTTATGATTGAATCGTATTTAGAAATAAACATATTTCTCAACATCAACATACATATAGGATTTACCTGGACATATATAGCAGAGTAACTAGAGTTCAGTAACTGGTAATAGAAAGAGAGCATGGACATGGAGGTTCGGCCACGTCAATTACTCCTTCAAGCATCTGGATGACCTTCCTCTTGGTAGGCCTCAATGACGAGTTCTCTTGTACACACCAAAGACCAACCATCACAAATGTTGCAAGTTTTTTGTGGTCATTTAAGGCCTCCAAATCATTCTCAACAAATGCATCCAGTCGACCTTCTTGATAGCAATCCCATGCAAGATCAGTTAAAACTGCCACCCCTTCATCATCAGTCTCAAAAGCCAAGCTTTTTCGGCATGAAACGATCTTTTCTTTCTCTGGGAAGCCGATGACGGTTTTGAAAAGGACATTCAGCTATCTGGTATTTCACGAACGCCTTCACGTTATCTGTAGCACCCATAATCCCGTTAGAGAGTGGAAGTCTCTTCTTCCAGCATTTGGCGTCCCTGTACATTGCAACAACACAAAAACAATCTTCCAAGCAGATACAATACAACTTCCCAGCTTGCATTGCCAGTGGAATTGTTAGGGTAGTTGTATGGTCTAAAGACCCCATCAGAATCGAGAGTAGCTATGTGATAATAATCTCCAGAAGGAACTGAGCCTCTTTGAGTAAGATACAACCTTTCGCCATTTCTTCTCAAAATATACATGTATCCCGTTGCATCAAAGATCACTCGTTCGCAAGAAGTTGTTGAGTTGGAGTCATCACTAGTACCACTACGATAGTAATCAACTAAAGAATTACCTGAAAGTATATTTCGAGTATTAAGAAGAAGATTTCCATCTTGAAGCAGACGTAACTGGAATCGTCCACCAGAGAAGTTTGTTGGACTGATTGTTGAATTCATCCCTTCACCTCTCTCTATAACCTTAGTAGGCAACAGTGTGTCTGCCGGATAATCAAAACTATCCCATATCTTGCGAGAATTGCTACCAAAAATTATGAACTTACCTGTATCATTCATAAAACCTGATGCAATAGCGGAAATGGACCCAAATCTCCATACCTGTGTACCCTGAGGATGAGTGAGTACGAGTCCACTTTCACCAAGTAGCTCAACTTTGGATCCTGTAGGCACCGTTTGACCTTCTTCTGGATACCTTATAGATAACAAGAAATTATCGGTCCCTTGAACTTGTTGGAACCCAAAGGCAAATTCACCGGAAGATGAAAGCCATGGTTTGACATCGGCTGTGGCGGTGAGTGATGCACCAACAGATACAGAACCCGTTTTCTGCTGTGCAGCTATGAAACGTAGGAAAATAGTTAGAAAGACAAGACGCAGTAGGATTAGAGCCATATGTAACTGGTGGAATGATAGGCAACAATGAGGAAATTAGGATTTATTAAATAATAAATCATTGCTTAAAGGTCTACAAATAATCCAAACAAGTCTCTTGTGGATCCTTTCCTCGTAATGACAATTGTTGACCATTTCCTTTGATTTTTCCTTGGTGTCATGTCAACAACGGAACAACAAAAAATATATATAAAATACATAAATAAATAAATAAATAAATACACGGCAGGAGACATACAATTAGCAAACTGGAAAAGCGTTTTGATTTCATAATGTTTGAAAAAAGGGAAAAGGGAAAAAAGGATATCCACAAAACCATAAAAAAAAAAAAAATCGAGATGTATTATATATATATATATATATATATATATATATATATATATATATATATATATATATATATATATATATATATATATATATATATATATATATATAGGTTTAAGTTCTATGGAAAACAAAAAACCCTAAAAAAAATCATAAAAATCATAAAAATGCATAAAAAAAATACTTAGAGATCACAAAACTTTTTTTTTTGAATTTTTTTATAAAAAATCGCAGCTTTTTATAAAAATTCGCTGAAAAAACAAAATAAAATATATATATATATATATATATATATATATATATATATATATATATTTTTGTAAAAAAAAAAAGTTTTTTTTTCAAATTTTTGTCAGCGATTTTCTTTAAAAATCTGCGATTTTTTCTTAAAAAATATCAAAAAAAAGTTTTGTGATCTCTAGGTATTTTTTTATGCATTTTTATGGTTTTTTTGTTTTCCAAATAACCTTTCCCTATATATATATATATATATATATATATATATATATATATATATATATATATATATATATATATATATATATATATATATATATATATATATATAGGGTTAAGTTCAAATGAGAACACCATTTAATGTAAGAATGCGAGAACACTACTTTATATTACTATTCTACTATGAATTTTGTATATACAATGATATGGTATTATTCATCAACAAATATACGAACAATCACACATTAATATTCACATTAAACTTTTATATGTACAACTTTATGATATTATTCATCACCGAATATATGAACAATCACATATTTAACATTCACATTAGTATTTACTAAATTACTACACATATATATAAATTTTATAGTAGAATACAATATAAAATTGAATATATTCATATTATAATTACTACAATAGTATACATATTAAATTCATAGTAGAATAGTAACATAGAGTAGTGTTCTCACGTTCTCACATTAAATAGTGTTCTCATTTGAACTTAACTCTCTCTCTCTCTCTACATATATATATATATATATATATATATATATATATATATATATATATATATATATATATATATATATATATATATATATATATACACTTGCCGTTTGCCCGCGCAAAGCGGCGGCGACAAATAGTTTCTTTCAAGCAATTAGTTCCATTCGGAGACATGTTATATTTCTAACAACACTTGTACCATTATCGATAGGTTTCACAAAAATAAAAAAGTGCAATGCCAAAACGAAAAAATATTGTGGTGGTGGATTCCATGGAGGAAAAGGAGATGAATATTTGAATTAGTCTCCAGTCAACTATATTTTATGCAAAAAAATTTGGGAACTCCAATTTGAATGAACTTTTAAATTTCAAACGATTTGTCGAAAAGAAGTGTTTCAGATTTCGAATGCACCAGATACCAGAAAAGAGATATTTTAGGAGTACAAGTTGGGTCAAAATTGATGAAAATACTAATTCAATCCCTAAAAATAAGGAAATACTAATTTAAATGTACTTTTAATACTTGTATCCCTAGCATTATCATTTGTAAGATATATATTATAATATCATTATATTAATTATTGGTTGTACTTTAAACTTAAAGACTTGAACGTCTTAAAAAAATATTATTATTATATTGATTTTATTTATAGAAATAGTAAGATTTCTTTTATAAGGTAGTATATATATATATATATATATATATATATATATATATATATATACTAGTTTATAACCCGTGATAACCACGGTTATAAAATTAATTAAATTTTCATATTAAAAAATCAAAATCATTAATAAATTATTTTAAATAAATTATTACTTAAGAGATATTTTTTTAGTTATATAAAATTATAATCGTTGATTTAAATAAATATGTGGAGTTATATCATTTTATAATTTATATTAATTTTATTTTAGTTTTTAATCTAATGTTATTAGTTTAATATAATTAAAAGGAGAAATTTTAAAATTTGAAATTTAAAATGAAGAATGAATTATTACTTTATTAAAATTAGAATGAGAAATTTAAAATTTGAAATTTGAAATGAATAATTAATAGGTAGACAAGTGGCATGATAATAAATGATATATAACATTAATGAGAGGTTCTAATTGCATAACACTTGTCAATATGACATTAAACCTATTCTTTATTAGAATATATATATATATATATATATATATATATATATATATATATATATATATATATATATAATGATCCTATTTTATATATTTATTACTAGTATAAGATAATACAATATTTTATAAAAGTATCTTATCGAAATTACATAATCTACAAAAGTGAATTTTTTCATCTTGAAAAAAGGTTGATACCGACAACTCTAACCGGGCCCACCTAACCCCAGCCTCCAAGGGGCGAATTGGACGGGCACTTAATGGCTCACTCAACGGTTGTAGCTAATGGAGAGGCAAGGGTTTGAACCACCAACTTGTATGATATCTTGCTATTGTGCAACCCTTGTGCTAGAAAACTAGCAAGGCGTGAATCATGCTAACATCTTTTCCAATCGATGTGGTTTCATTGGTGTCGATTCACGAAATCTTCATCTAGTCTATCTCTCATCGTTCTCTAATTTCACTCCCAGTTACATAGCCGCACTCATACTATCACACAAGGATACTATTCCTTCCTAACCCTAATGATAACTATATACAATGATTACAGGATCGTATCCATTACGTAAATATACATGAAACGAAAGACAAACCAAACTTCGGTCCCATCGATGTTTATAACACAAAGTTACAACTTTGGTCTGCGTGTTATACTAATTGCTCCGTTATCACTCCAACAACATTTCTTTTTATATGTGTTATACCTTAGTTCCATTATCTCCCTCCCCCTCAACACTTATAATTTCATGTGTTTTATTTTAATTATCTAGGTGTGAGACCCGTGTATTATATGAGTTAAATAAAAATATTAAATATCCAAATATAAATATTAAGTATTTTTTAAAATTAAATGTTAAAATAAAAAAGGAAAAGATATATTTATTGCAATTTATGATCATATTTATTTATTATGTGGCTTTTTAATTTTAAAAATTAAAAAAAAACATATAAATTAACATGTGAATATTATTTATTTTAAGAATACTATAAAATGACAAGTGTCAAAACTTATGAAAGATTGTTATATAGCAAAATGAATCTTCATTTATTAGAATAGATTTAAGACTTGCATCGTAGTTCCCTTTATGACATCTTAACCACTTTAGTTTAAGTTAACTATCACATAAATTCATTCACTAACTTAATTGTATTTTTCTCTTTTATGGTTTAATTAAAACTTTATAATTCACTTCAAAGGCAAATAAATCCTTATTTTATTTTTGTTTATTTCATTTTATACCTTGATTATAACATAAATAAATTTAAGCCAAATTATCTATGTAACGGAAAACTAACCTCATTAATGAATGGATTTTCAGGTTGTTACAATTTAGTCAATTGTATGCGTTGTCGAATTGTTTGTGTGTTTATTTGTTATATTTGTCAACATATTTCATAGTGAGTTGATGGTGGTTCTGTTTTGTACGGTATGTCAAGATACTCATGCAGGCCAAAGTTATGCTAAAAGTTAGGTGCAGACCAGCTTTATGCTAAAGACAATAGGGGCGAACTAGCCATGGACTGAAAGACGATGTTTGTATGCTTGCATGTATATTGTGGTGTATTTTGTTTTGGGCTAATCATTAAGCTTTGGTTTATAGTTGTGGATTAAGTGTTTCAGGTGATCATGAGAAGGAGAAGACGTGAGTTGTACATACATTGACAACTTTCGTATTTTATGATTCTGCACTTATGAACACACTCTGATTTTTGGGTGTAACTTTCAAAACAAATGGTTTTTATGAGGCTGATTTATGACAATGACTATGTTATTCAAATTAAAAAAAAATCATTTTTTAAACAAATTGGTACGTTTCGTAGATTGTGGCGGTGAGTTCGAAGTCCCCTTTCATTCTTGATTCTATTGGAAAAGTCTTTGCATATTTACATGGTGGATTACATTTTATCCGGATATTAGTAATCTTTTATGTAAGCTTATTGTACTAGTAGTTGTTGCGTGTCACATCGGTCACAATCAAAGGTTTGGTACTATTCACCATTTAACATTCGCAACAAAAAAAAAAACCTTACCTTTGGCGACGACAAAAAACGTCACATTTGATGGCTAGAGTTGTCGCTATTACCTCGTACCTAATACTCAATTGTCGTTGTACTTAATTTCATCTCTAATAAGTGTCATCGCTAAAAGCCTTAAAAGTCGCTACTAGCATCGTCTCTATTGATATTTTGGCCACAGGCCAAGTTTTTTCGGCAAGGATCCTCAGAGGCAGGCGTCGTCGCAATTGGTGCATGCCGTCGTTAAAGATGTCGCTACTAATACTTTTTTTTAAAACGATTTATTTATAATATTTGTTTATATATTATAAAATACATATTTAATAGAAATACAAAAATCAATACACACCACATTACATAAACTATGTAATAAATCCAAAATAACATCATCCATAACATTAATATATATATATATATATATATATATATATATATATATATATATATATATATAACATTCGTAATTTGGTATGTTTCCCTTTTAGCCCTTTAATGCAAAATCTTTATCTTTTGGTCCCTATATAGTACGTCGGCCGTACTCCATG